AACTAAAAAATGTTCAGGGTTTTACTGACTTACATTTGGTTCAATTTTGTTTAATTAATATTAAAATAGGATGAATTAATTGTTGTTTAACATCTTTTTTTCATTTTTTTTCCCAACATCATATAAAATCATTTCATATATGAGACCCTCCTTTGCGTGCCCCCCCCCCCCCCCCCGGGGGTACCCGTAAGGGGGATATGCAGTGCACGTAGTGCCCCCCTTGTACGCCTCTGCCCTGCTTCTCTTGGGGGGTGATCAAGAAAAATTTCCTGTATCCACCCCTGTATGTATATAATATATATACAAAACATTATATTTGTAACCTCCGAACCCGGTCTCAGTTCCCACTCCATCAACAATTGAATCAATAATGTCCGACACCGGTCTTGCTTCTCCAGCCTCCACTTTCTACTGGCATCTGACTGAGTCTCCTCTCCCACACCAAATAATTTAGTTTATTATTTGACCGTTAGGTGTCTCTAATTACTCATTTAACATAGCTATAGATTTAAGATTACCTACTATGCTAGGACAAAGAAAGCTTTTTAGCGTTTAATAAATAAGCCAACTATTTTCAAGAAAAATTATTTTTGCTATTTCTCAACTAAATATTACAAGAAGCTACAAAGTGCGAATTTTAAAGATATTGATTAAGAATTGTACAACGAAAATCAATGAAGTCTGCTCACGAACTTAACAAGTTTATTGAAGGTGGATTATCTCTAATTTGAGTAAGGTTAACCTACCGCCTGTTATAACTCTGGAACTACGTATAAAGAAGAATTTATGTGTTGTGTCTTGTTGAAACGAGTTATGAAGATAATGCCTCCTTAAAATTTATTTAAACTAGGCTTTTATTTAAATTGTGAACATGTTCTTTTTGTTTACATTTTAAAACAAAGAAGAAATATCATAAACACTCTCCTTGAAGAAATATCATAAACACTCTTCTTGAAGAAATATCATAAACACTCTCCTTGAAAAAATATCATGAACACTCTCCTTGAAGAAATATAATAAACACTCTCCTGGAAGAAATATCATAAACACTCTCCTTGTAGAAATATCATAAACACTCTCCTTGAAGAAATAGCATAAACACTCTACTTGTAGAAATAGCATAAACATTCTCCTTGAAGAAATATCATAAACACTCTCCTTGTAGAAATATCATAAAAACTCTCCTTGTAGAAATATCATAAACACTCTCCTTGAAGAAATATTATAAACACTCTCCTTGAAGAAATATCATAAACACTCTCCTTGAAGAAATAGCATAAACACTCTCCTTGAAGAAATATCAAAAACACTCTCCTTGAAGAAATATCATAAACACTCTCCTTGAAGAAATATCATAAACAAAAAAGTCGCAAAGGTAACGCTGTTAAAACATTTTTAAAGAATCTTGTTTAGAAGCGTAAGGTCCCAGCCCGCATTCTAGTGAAGTACCTGAAACATTCATAAGTTAAAGGTTTCAATTTGGATTAAATTCATGTAACCTTTTAAGTTCATCTCTTGCTTATAAACAATCGCTATAGCGATTATTTTTTTTCAGACTGATTGAATGTTAAATTAATTTTTTTACTTTTATTTTCAAGAACTAGTGAAGAAATGTAAAGATTGTGATTTAACTTTTTTTAAAAGTTTTTTACGACTTTTTGACCCAAAAAGAAAGAAAAATTCTATAAATTAAGAGGAAAGACGACGAAATATTATTGAAACAGTTTATTTTTAACCTCTGTTTTTTAAAACCAATTCGTAGTTTTAAAAACCATTTTACTCAGAAAATTTTTTTCATAAGGTTAAAGAAAAGTGATTTTCCAACAGATGAAAATCTTATTCCAGCTCCGAGGCTACCCTAGGACATTTTGCATGCAAATTCCGCCTTCAAATTCAAGGATGACCAAGAGTTGCTTTCCTTCCAATAGTATCAAACACCGTGCTCAAACTTTTTCACGTACTTTAATTTACAATAATTTATAATTTAATTTACATTATTCATTGCACCACCATTTTTAATCTTTCTTTTTTTTACAAGCTATAAGCTGTAGTACCCAACGTTGCCCGTGGAATTTAAAAAATTGAATTAAAACAAAAAATATAATTTATTTAGCTTATGTCAACCTCAAGGGAATCAATGAGTTTCCTTACCAAAATTCAGCCCATTTTTTTCAGTCGATTGGCCAGCCTTAGCAAACATATAAGTTAACAAAGAGATATAGATTACAATTGTACTCTAACTTTTTTAGCACAACAGAAAGTCAAAATTTTTTCTGTACCTTTGTCCTTTTTTTCATCTTATAGAATTTAAGGTTTAGTGGAGTTTTTCATTTTCAAAAATGGCTTTTACTATCATAAAATGTCGATTTTTTAGAAACATTGTTTTTTTCTGCTAGTTTTGTTTGATGGAGGTTTAAAATAGTACTTGTCTTCTTGATATCTGATATCTACAAGAAGCCAAATGTTTTGAATTTACAGTTTTGCAAATTTTGCCCCCGACCTCTATGAGCTCCAACCAACGTGCAGGGGTGTACTAGAGGTATTAGTCTGGACCGGGTTTAGTTTACAATTTCTTTCTGTTTTAGGAGGAGGCTCAGCACCCGTTGGAGCAGCTGAAAACCACTTGATAAAAATCATAGATATTACTGATCCAGAAGAAAGAAACCAAAGACGACTTTACAAAGAAAAGAATAAAAAGATTAAAAAGAGTAAAAGATATAATCAAACATAAAGGATGTCAAAAATCAGCGCGAATTAAAAAAAATGCTTAAAAATGCCCGTTTTTCATAGAACCTATATCTCTTTCACACTCCATTAAGCTTTTTTTACTTATTTTAACATTACAAATAATTATCTATAATTTTTTTTCTAAAAGTTGTTAGTTAATCGTCGAAAAATTCTAACAATCCACCACTAATTTATATTAAATATAGTGTAAACAATAAATATGTAACTTTCCTTATCCTTTCCTTTCCTTTTCCTTTTATTTCTATTTTTATATTTTTTTAGAATTGGGGGGAAATATTCCCACAACCTCTACTTTAAGAGGCTTTTAGATATTTTCTCCTGAAACACTTTATTTTGTATGTTTTTGTTATATTTCAAGAATAAAATTTTTTTACTTTTTTTACTTTTTACTTATTATTTCTCAAAAAATTTTAAATTGTGCCCCTACAGTAAGTTTTTCTTAACCTAATCTCAATATGCAAACTTAAATTTGGCGTCCAACCTTTTAGAAATGAAAAGTATAGAAACTGTTTCTTATAGCAACAAGGGGTATTTTCCGGGAGAACATTTTTTATATTTTTGAGAAATTAAATGTTTTTGTAAAACATTGTAGCTTATCATTATCATTATCATAATTTCTATTTTTTTAACATACCTTAGACATTAAAGGAGCAAAATGGTTTAATACGTACATTTGAGGTTTGGAAAAAATTCTTAAAAGTATAAAAAAAAATTCTCCAGTAGTGCTAATATGATTTCATAAAATTCCGTTTTACCATTTAAATAAAAGGATTTTATGAAAACAAAATCTACTTTACACTGATAATTTAATTTCTCAAAAATATAAAAAAAATGCTCTCCCGGAAAATACGCCATGTTGCTATACGTAGCAGTTTCTATACGTTGGATTTCTATAAGGTTTGACGCCCTTAAATTTAACTATATCATTTTTCAGAATAAGCTCAAATTCCTTTTTATTTTCCCTCTTTCTTTAAAAAAATGGCTCTAAATTTGGATTTTTTAAATTACACTCACACATTCTTATTCAAATTGCCCCTTCACCAATATTTTAAATTTTTTATTTTTAACCCTTGATATCTTCCAGGTTTCTCAGTTGGACTCTTTTAAATATTTAATCTATTATTGGCCCAGAAAATCATAATTAGATTAATTTATCTGTGCAAATTCACATTTAAACCGGTCTTTTTCTATAACTTGTAAATATTTTGCCCGAATACGTCTTTTAACACTCAAAATAAACATATGGTTTGAACATGTGCCAAATTTTTTGAAGTACATTTATGGTGCGCTGTATTCTGAAAAAGAATAGAAGTGAAGGATAATTATCATTTTTTTATAAAAACAGAAAAGTGAATCGCGAGAAATATTTGAATCACTTACAATAAGTTAAACCACTTCTCTTGAGCCCATCAGGCCAAGTTGAAAATGCATGGTATTTCATTAAATTTTGTTTTAGGTTGCAAAAATTTGAGAATTTGAAAAAGAGATTAGTTTATAGTAGTATCATCCAAGTGCCGATTATTTAAATTCCTATAAAAATATTTCTTGTTACAATATTATGTGTCCTGATTGCCAAAATGGGTAAATTATTGTTCTGTGACTGCTGCTCCAGACTCATATTGTAATTTAATAGATATTTGTATTTCCATAGTTCCCCTGCGGCCTGCACTCAAGAAATCATCATTCTTCACATCTATCTTAATCTAATTGCTTTACGAAAAGATCAGCCCAAATAAATATTGTATCAAACACGCACCTCTGCCCCTCTAGTAAAAGTAAACTCAACCTATATGAAGCATAAAGTCTGACCGCGTCAACCTTGTTGCAAAGGCTAGTCCTGTCCATAGAGCTAGGTACAGTAAAACTAGGACCGGAAAAATTGACCGGGCTCGGAAATTTAAATGTACCACGGCTGCCCGTGCAAAGGGCTAATAGAAACAGTCTTTAGACTTTATTCGTTCTCAAACCAGAGGAAGACTGTATATATGTACAAATGTACATTGTACATTGATACTGTAACAGAGTTTTATATTTCGACAACTTATATATATATATATATATTCACATGTGACATAAATATATATATATATTCATATATCAATTGAAACGCAACAATCTTCTTATAACATTTTATTCATAAATAAATTGTTTCATGCTTTTATGCAATCATCAGTATGAATATATTGAGAATTATATATATATATATATATCCATAGACACAGTGTTTCGTCCTATATATATATATTTTTTTTAGGGTCGACCGGGCCACATGCTTCATGACTTCTACAAGTGTAGAAGTGAATGGTTTAAAAAGACACTTAACAGATGTATGAATGTAAGCTATAGTATTAATGCACTATTTCATGGTCAAAATAAGAGATATAAGAGATATTCTAATTGGTAACTTCTAATTAAGCATTATTTAAATCAGATTTAAGTTTATTTTAATAGATAAAACGTCGAAGAAAATCTGACTTTTTTCACATTCGAACCTTTAAAAAAGAAAATATTTACAATGAACCCCATCACCACGTTATACGTCATGGCAAAAAATTAATAATGCTTAACCCTATCCCTGCTGGGGTAGTTGAAAACCAGGATTCGCTGGGTGATAGATAGATATATATATTTNNCCCCCCCCCCCCGATAAAAAGTAAAAAATGTTTGCAAAAAAATATGTCCAAAAAATAATGAAATATACATTTTTGAAAAAGCCCTTGACCATGCCATTTCAAATATGTAAAAAGTTTTGCAAAATTTTAAATAAACTGATGTTTAATCAAGAAAAATTTAAAATGTGCAAATTTCTTTTGACGGGTGCATGTGCAATCCGTTTCCTTATGTCATAGACTTTTTAAAAAGCTAAAAATTATTAAAATCTGAAAACTAAAAGTAGGCGAAAACAAAGGTTTAGTTTGTTCCATGAAAAAGTATTCATTCAGACTGTGTGCCTGAGGACTCAGGCAGTTAGTACCTAAACGGAGGGCAAACGGTGGGTATTTAGGAAAAGTCCGAAAATTGCAACAGTCTCAGAGGCTCACACCAATACTTTTGGAGTTATGACAAGGGAGCCCCCCTGGGGTTCAATTTGAACCCCCCCCCCCCCACCAGGAATAGGGTTAAACTGGAATTGTCTTGTAATTTCAAAGGATCCATTATTTAAAAAGAGGCGCATGCTTAATTCACAAAGCCTTTGTTTAAACCTTTGTCTGGGTCAATCTTGTGGAAGATATCTTCGGTTTCCTCTGGAAAAGTTTTTATTTTTATTTATTTTTATTTCTGACAATTTTTTCCATTATTTATGCAGCATAAATGTGCAAATCACAATTAAGGTTGAATAATTATTTGTATTGTGTGTCCCATATAATTTTGGATTATCTCCAAGCTTAAACGCACATAATAATTTAAAAACCTGGTATTTTCTGCAAGAAATTGTTTCATTAGCTGTCTTTTACATTATTTTTAAATGATAAATTATTTTTAAATTTTCTGATTATTATAACAATCTAATATGATGATGCGACAGGGTGTTAATAAAGTGTTCCTAAATAACATTCCATATTTTGCAGGATAATTCTCTGCGCTACAGAACTCACAGAACGCGGCAAAGATCGTCAAGTAGTTTTGTCGTCTTTAATTTCGCACTTCTAACCTTTACACTTATGCTGACACACACATGAAATAAAAATTTTTAATAAAATGTATTAATTCATTTAAAATTATGTTTTTTTATCTAGTGTAAAATATCATTGTTTAATAATTCTACCTTGTTTGTGAATTCTTTTTTCTTAGTCTAGACCTTAGTACTCAATCTGGAAAGAAATTGAGTCTTTGCCAAGAAACTGTGCAGCCCAATGCTGTATACAGTTTAGATATTTCCAACAATATTCCGTCAGATACAATAATCTAAGATATTTAAGGTTTACAACATCAGGTTGCAAAGATATATGGACAAAGACTCAATTCTTATTTGAATGTTGGATCCTCTATCCTGTATCTTTGTATACAGATCCTGTATCTCTGTATACAATTCTTCATCTTTGTGTTTAGAACATCTACCTTTGTATAAAGATCCTGTATCTCCATATACAATCTTGTATCTTTGTATTTATAACATATATCTTTGTATACAGATCCTGTATCTCCATATACAATTCTTCATCTTTGTATTTAGAACATCTATCTTTGTATACAGATCCTGCCTCTCCGTATACAATCTTGTATCTTTGTATATTTATAACATATATCTTTGTATACAGATCCTGTGTCTCTGAATACAATCCTATATTTTTGTATGCAGAACTTGTATCTTTGTATTCAGATCCTGTGTATTTGTATACAATTCTGTATCCTTGTATTTAGAACAACTATCTTTGTATACATATCCTGTATTTCTGTATGCAGATCCTGTATCTCTGTATACAGATCCTGTATCTCTGTATACATATCCTGTATCTATGTATACATATCCTGTATCTCTGTATACATATCGTGTATCTCTGTATGCAGATCCTGTATCTCTGTATACAGATCCCCTGTATCTCAGTAAAAACAGATCCTGTATTTCTACTGCTCATGTAATGATGCATCTCTACAATTCATGTATCTTTGGATAATGATACAAACAAACAATATTCACTACTACTTACATGTTCTTTCCGGACCTTTTTGTTGAAGTTGAAGTTGTAGTGATAGATGTTGTTGTTGTGGTTGCAGTTTTTTTTTGTTGCAGTAGTTGTAGAAATTGAAGTTGTTGTTTTTATTACAGTAGTTGTTTTAGTTTTATTAGTTGTCGGTGTAAATGCTACCGTTTCTATATCAACAGGTTTTGTAAATGATGAATTACTATATAGTAACATAATATTTAATTTCAAACACAAAATATAATATAATAATTGATAATATTCGGTGGTTTACCTTAAAAAAAATGTTTATTATGAGCGAAAGGAAAAAATAATGTTTATTAATTATGCATAAAAATATTATTAGTCACCTTTAAATAATTAAAATATTTTTTTAGGAATGACTTTGACATTCATCATGAGCAAAAGATGTTAATGCAGTTCTTGCATATTAAGTAGTGATCTATACATTATACCAATATGTATACTTTTTCTTCCCTGTTTGGGTTTTTGTTTGTTTGTTTGTAACCCATAGACGTCAAAACGGCAGAACCGATCGAGTCCACGTTTTTTGTAGAACTTCATACGATCCACTACTACCCCAACTACCGTCTGTTCTTAGAGAGACCCCACCCCCCCCCCAGCGGGAATAGGGTTAAGCAAATAAAAAAGAATATGGTCATGTAATGGTTTAAGGGGTACTGTTGCGAATTGTGGATATCCATCTTTAAATGGAAGGTCACTTGAAATTATGCAAAACAGTCCATTTAATTGGAGATAAAAATGGTAAGCCAGTATTTTAGTATTTGAGGCAGCGGTAGGTAGGGTTGTTAATCATTTTGTGTTTAATTTTTTTCTAAAAAGATTATTTTGTTATTAGAAAAAAACGATATTTTTTTTTAAAACAAAACACTCGTTTTCAACTTTAGAAAAATTGAAAAACTATCATTATTGTAAACAATCTTTTTTGACAATCAAGTTCAATTTTTAGTAATGTTGTCTAAAATGTTTTTTATCAAAACGAATAACCTGATTTTTTTCTGACCTCGGATTTCCAGCCAAAAAAATTTATTTTCTCTTTAAAAGGTCGTTAAAAGGAAGGGCCATCGAAAATGGTTGTTAACAAAGGTTTGTTGTTAAAAGTCATTAAAGAAGTGTCGTTTCAAAAATGATAGTTTTTGAAAACAACATTTAAAAAAGAAATTTCTTTACAAAACTGCTTTCTCAGTTCTACTAGCATGCATTGCCGGTCACTTGTAGACGGTTGCCATTGTTTATCAAGGCAAATAGTATGACAACGCCAGATATATTTTAAATACACAATGAAAATGTTTATTATTAACAAATAAAACAAAACAGGGCACTTTTCATTCAATTTTCAGGTAAGAACAAACCATCAGACATCCAAACACCCAAATATATGTTTAATGCCTAACTGGGCATCAAATGGAAAAACTAGTTTCATAAAAAATCTTAATTTTTCTTACACCTCAGGATGGGTAAACAAAAACTAAAGGAACTTTAAGCGTACAAAGGCAAGTTTTAAATACTGCATCCACTAGAGGAGGGGTTGTACTGAGAATTATGTTAAGTCTTGCATTTTCTTTTATAAAAAATTAATTTATTTACTCAAAACATTTTATTTCAATGAACCCTCAAATTTGATTAAGTATTTTATCAATTAATTTGTTGACTTAAACCAAATGAAGTAAAACTAAATCAAGAAAAGTTTTTAAATTAAAAAGTCAACAACATAAAAAAACCAACAACCTTAACCAAAAAATAATGTTTAGGTAAAATCAAAAATGTGTTATAGCTACTTAACCCTATTTACATAAATCCAAAAATATTAGCCTTAGGCTGTTGAAATTTTCTGACTTTTCCTAAACACCCATAGCCCTCCCTGTAGGTCTAAAATCGGGCTTTTATGCTAACTTCCTGAAACCTCAGGCTCAATGCCTGAATTACTACTTTTTCCTGTAACAAACTAAATCTTTGTTTTGACCCAAATTTCAGATGTCAGATTTTGATAATTTAAGATTTTTGGAAAACCTATAACAGAAGGAAACAGATTGCACAAGTTTTGCAAAGAAATTTTTGCAAATTATTATTCAAAAGAAATACATTTTTAGTTTTTCTTAATTACACATCTGGTTATTTAAAATTTTGCAAATTTTTTACATATTTAAAATGGCTTTTTAAAACTGTATTTTCTATCATTTTGGGCATCTTTTTTTGCAAACATTTTTAATATAAAACTGGATTTTGCCTAAAAAAAATTGATTTTAGCAAATTTCATTTTCTTTTGCAGATTTTAACAGTAGAGCGTAAGAGCTTTCAAATGATGTATCATTTGTCTTATTTGGACATCAAACATGGGATTTAGCGTTGACCCCTNTGTACAATTGACTACGTTTTAGTATTTATCATTTTCAATGAAATATGCAATAGTATCTTTTGTTTAGTTTAGTATGCCAATCTTTTAGGATACTCTCAATTACTCGACTATTTTATGTTCGGTAGAATTCCTAATTTTCCAATACCATTTTCATTTTCAACACTTAAAAGATAATGAATAACAAACTGTAAATTAAAGACATTTATTGGACATTCAATAGCCAAATTTTCTACACACATCTTTAAGTTTTCATTTTCTATAATCTTAGTAACTAGCTTTGGTTTCTTTCTTCTTTTAGTCATAGACTTGACTCAGGGCTAAAATCTTGAATCAATTGATATTCTGTATGTTTTGCTCGAAACATGAAACTGATCTGTATTCCAATAGTCTAAAAAATAATTATAATGTTGGAAAATTTATAACTTAACTGTTCTTTGGGAGTTGTTTTTCTTTTAAGGTGAGTGTTTTGACAGCAATATTTTCAAATGAAAGCCTGTGACATCAAGTTTATGCATTTAATTGCTATCCCAAAGATGTTATGACTGAAGGTTAATTCAAGAATTTTATAATTATTTTATTGGGAAACTTAGGGAATTATTTTACTGGAAAATTTAGGGAACCGTGGGTACCCAAGACCAATTTTTTCTACAAAATATCCAGTGTGCAGCAGGGAATCTTGTGTAGAAAAAATTGGTTGAAGTTGTAAGGAATTTAAATGTCTTTTGAGATGAAAATTTGCAATTTTTTTCCCAAAAACTATGCAGAATGGGTGGTTATTTTACATAACTGATTCAAGGGACTATAAGTAATCTAACCTCACTCTGCTGGGGGAATCATAGGTTGCTAATGTTGGTCAAAAGGCCATAAAATAATTTACACAAGAACAACAATTTCAGTTACTGAAGATCAGTTGTTTTTCATGCAAAAGTAAATCCGAAAAACCTAACCTCCCTCTGTTGGGGGAATCATAGGTTGCTAATATTAGTCAAAAGGAAGTAATATAAATTACACAATAACAACAATTACTGAAGTTACTGAAGATAAGTTGTTTTGCAAAAGTAAATCCAAAATTTTACCACTATTCCCATTTGAATAACAAGCAAAGTTGTGCTCCAGGAGAACCCAATTAGATCATAACTGATTCCACCGACAAGAGCAGATAGGAATCCACCAAGATAATTAAACAATAGCCACACACTAGCAATTCGGCTCTACAATTCATACAGATTAAAATAGTATAATCAATTCTTTTTTCACAGTTAGTGTGTGGAAATTTTTTTTCAGTTAAAAATAATGAAAGATGGCATCAATAAATCCTTACTTGTTAGCCAAGAGAGTTTATATGTTAAGAAGAATGTGACAACTTTGAAGGTTGGATTTATCCCTTTGAGGGACTTTTTACCAAAAAATCATTTATTTTCCTCATAAACACATACCTAGCCTCCTGAAGACTGATAACATAAACCCCAGTAGTTTGATATTATTTTCTCATTTTTCCAAAATTTGACGTTTAAAGAATTAAAGATAGTTTCAATATGTTGAATGTAATAGCAAACTTGAGGAGGGGCTTTAACCCCTCTCCCAAGTCTATTAAAAATATTAAACACTAATCATGCATATAAATATTTAACCCTATCAAGGCTGATGTCTGGTTTACCCATAAAAGTCTAGAGGGGGTCCCAGGCACACCCCCCTCTATTTCCGTATTATGATACAAATCTATAACATTTGATACACTTTTGGAAAGTCCATGGACTCCATTTAATTAATCTGTGAAAAAAATTGCCAATTTGCAAAATTTTGAATATTTATTGCATTATCAACTTCAAAAAGTGTGCAAAATAGGATAAATTATATATTTTTGAAAAGCCCTTGCTGGCCTGGCAAATTCAAGTATGCAAAAATATTTTCAAAATATTCCAAAACTAAATTTGTAATTAAGGAAAACTGAAAATAAGCAAATTCTCTTTAAAGTCTTTGCAAAATTTCTTCGCAAAAAATGTGAAATCTGCTTTCTTTTGTTCAAGGTTTTGAGCCAATTAAGTGAGGGCATATGTTAGTAAAAAAGTAAAAAAAAGTTTGAGATATTTGCAAACAACGTCAGAAGGGGGGGGGTCCTCTAGCCGGAATAGGGTTAAAGCAATAATATCTTCTTACAGTAGTCTCTTCAGATTCTTGAAGACCTGCCTCTCTGGCACATTGCAGAAGATTTAACAGTGAAGCAGGATAAGAACATGCTATGCCAACACCAATAAGCCCCCAGGAAACTACAGTAGCAGGGATATTATGTAGAAACCAAAGACCTGGAAAAGGACCTAAACATTTGTCTTTACTTTTACAAATTTTCAACGTGGTAAATTCTAGCTAGCTAAGAAATACCATCATGATAAAAATAATATCTGTTATGTTGTATGGTTATGTACCCCTCACTAATATTTTACAAAGGCAATTACAGATGCCTACAGTGAAAATTACATCACAGAAAGAAATTTTAAGGTAAAAAAACTAGAGCCAAGCCGAAAACATAACAGTTCAATATGTACTGACTTTCTTATACTTATTATTGAGTCTAAACTGTCCATCACTTCACCTCAGCTATAAATTAGTTTTTAAAAACAAAGACACCTGAGGATTTTACAGATTCTAGAATTATGTCTAGAACCCCTGAAACATTATAATGGTTTTAAGGTATTCCATTTTATAGGTTTAAAACCTATAAAACATTGTTTGTATGGTTTTTTCATCAAATTTGATAATTCTGCATTGACAAATTTATCACGGGATGATGATGTTTTTGAAGAAAAGCTCTAATCATTTAGTGTTTTCTAATAATCTCCCAAAAACTTACGAGTCTAAAGTCTTTTTTAAGTCTAACCTCACAACAAAGTTTAAATGTAATTTTCTCGAAAAGGACTTGACAGGGATTTCTAAAAATCTACATGCTGATTCTAGACTTAGTTTATAACATTTAGAATCCTTGGGTTTGTTTTTTACAACCTACTATTTAGCTAAGGTAAATGGTGGCATATATTAAAGCACAGTGCAAATAGTTGTGTTTATGAGTGTAACAAGTACAAAATATTTTTAAAAAGATAGTCACAACCTAATGCCATGCCTCCAATAATCACCACAACATGTCCAACTAAAAGCATCCATTTTAGAGGGAATCCACAATCAATGACAAATCCAGATACAGGAGTTGCAATAGCATAGGTCAAACATTCTGCCATATACATCAATCCAACCTCTTCGGGGGAAATTCCATACTAAACATTTCTTACTTCAAATTTGTATTAGTTAGGTACGCTTAACCCTATAAAGGCTGGGGGTTTGAATCTATGTATACTGTATAGCCTGGGTGGCATTTGGCGCCCCCTCCCTAGAAAAAGGCCTTAGAGAATAGGTAAAGGGTTGAAATGCATGTTCACATCCCAATTTTTCATGGCCAGCTCAAAGAAAAAAAAATAGACCATATCTTTAATAATTGGGGTGCTAGGGAGGGGGAAAAAATATTTTTTTTTGTTTAAACAAATATCAAAGTGTTACACAAGGTTCTGTAGCTTTAGTCACAAAAAAGTTATGGGCTATTTTAGATTTTTTTTCACTGACCAGACTTTTTTTCCGCCCTGTACCCTATTCTATAGATTAAAAAAAATATTTTTTTATCAAAAAATCCTTTAAATTACTATTCATTAAAAGTGACAAAATTTCACTCTGAAGATGTCAAAAATGTGAGTGCTAGGACAAACAAACCAAAGGGAGGGCGTCAAATGCCCCCCCCCCAGCCTGTTTGGGGTTAAAGAAGTAAGGATTAGTAATAGTTATTGTTTGAAGATTTGACAGAAAATACTAATGGTATTTTTAGTAAAAGTAAGGTTGTACATGCCTTCTTCAAGTAAAGACTGATGATTGATGTGAAATTACCCCTTTTTTGCTTATTACAATTTAAAATTTACCTACATTCACAATTTGCTCACCAATTCTATGAAATGCGGCTCAAAGGATGCAGAATGCCATTTAGTAGCAGGTCCCAAAACAAATAAAACAGAAGCGATGTTCTCAATAAAACCCGAACATTTCAACAATTTCTTCCAAGGTGAGGTTTCCCTGGACAGATTACTGGCTTAAATATACATTTATCAAGTTCCTTTTTGCCAGATTTTATAAGATAAATTATGTTATATTTCCTTCCAAGTCAACTTTTCAAAATGCTTCAATGAAATATATTTGTATCCCGAAACATTTTTTAAGAAAATATTCATGAAATTGTAAAAATGTTTTCTTACGAATGTTCAAGAGTAGTAGCAGCTTCTATCTTTATTTTATTCTTCCCCAAAAGCATCTTAGCTCCCAGCACAACCATTATGATGCCAGTTGTCCAAAACGGGAGAGCAAACCCACCAGAAATACTGTACAATAAGCTTCCTACTGAGGGACCAGCCATTCCCCCAACCCCAAAGAAGAAATCCAGTGTTCCCTGGATCAAAGCATAGTAAAAAAATGTATTGAATAATGAATATAAGAAAACATGTTTATTAAAATTTATATAAAGCACATATCTACCAATAATTGTGTATAGAAAATACTAATTTTCTTGCCTATTGTTGTAAATATTAAAGCAACTTAATAAATGAAATAATTCTTACCACAACTTTTCCTCTATGTTGCACTGAAAACATTTGTGTTGCTAAAATTATTAGACGATAAGAAGTAAATACAACTGGATTCAGAGAAATCCATAAAACAGGCAATTCATTTTCTATATTTTTTACATTATGATTATAGCATATTTTCATTTTAAATAAATATTAATTGTTTTGTTTAATTGGTGTAGGCTTTAACGTATGTTGTAAAAGTACAAACAAATACCTAAGGGGTAGGCAGCATTTAGGACAACAGCTTCTCCTAAAGCACCAATTGTCCGAGAAAATAGAGAAAATGAAAAAAATTCTACAGATGAATCAATTTTGTCAAGAAATCTAAAATTAATAAAAAGTATTCTACAGATGAATCTAAATTAAAAACATACTGCAATATAGTAAAATTTCTCTTTTTTCCAAGGGATTAATTCACAAAAAACAAATTTAAAATTTTGTAATGTACAGTGAGTGTGCAAAATAGGATAAATTATATATTTT